TTTGTATCATTTAACCATTGAAATTTGTTAATCCATTTGATACTTGGAAAAGAAGTTGAATTCTGTTGCTATCTTAGTGGGTAGCATATTTTGGTAGCGGAAATACACGTCATTCCGATACTACATTTGGTAGCGGAATCGCGTTTTTTAAACCTTTATTTCTAAAAATATAAAAAAAAATTTATTTAAAGTCTATTAGTTTCTGATACCATCTACCAGTAGTCTATTATCACCTGTACTTTCATTTTTGAAAAATCAATACTTTTGGAGAAATAAAAAAAAAAAAAAATCATTTTTTGGTAGCGGAATCACATAAATTAACCAAATTTTTTTAAAAACAAAAAAAGTAATTTATTATTTAAAAATTATAATTTTCACCTTTAAAAATGATAATAGTACCTATTCTTTTGTAAAATAACGTGAATTTAAAATTTTCCAACATATACATTCTGCATAATAATTGCATTTAAGTAAGCTATTTTTTACTATATTTTAAAATTTAAAAGTACTATGTATTTGGATCATTTTTTCACATTTTACCATTGAAATATAAAATGAGCTTTAGTTTGATACCAAACTTGATGGGATTTGATAAGTATGAAAAATTACAGAAAATCACTCTGCACTATGAAATTGCCCTGTAACGTTTTAATGATGTCAGGTCCACGAGACTAAATTCCCACTGTTCGTCTATAGCTGTTACATATACTCTATTTCTATTGAAACGTCATTGATTAGGTTTATGTAATGATGTAATGTGTATGTATCTTGTCTGCTCAACCGATCTTGTACTCTTTTTTTTAATAGTAATATTTAACTCACAGTGCCACATCCTTGTTTTTAATGTCCTGTTGAAAACGCTCAACAATACTAGCCTTTGTTTCATTGTTTGTATCGGAAGATTTGTTTTAATAGGGATAACCCATGCATATTTAAATAATACATCGATGTATGTTAAGAGAAATTTAAATTGTTTATTGTAATGTTTTAATGATGTCAGGTCCACGAGACTAAATTCCCACTGTTCGTCTATAGCTGTTACATAGAGTATACTCTATTTCTATTGAAACGTCATTGATTAGGTTTATGTAATGTGTATGTATCTTGTCTGCTCAACCGATCTTGTACTCTTTTTTTTAATAGTAATATTTAACTCACTTTTCACACTCTGATAAAGTTGTTGTGCACCTCCGAAACCCCCTAGATGCAATATGCTTTTCTCAACTTCTCATCCATTCAATATTTTAAAACTTGAATAATTAAACATCCCAATAACGAGGTTAAAAGAAATCAAATCAAAATGGTTATCGCTATAATATAAATATATTAGCTTTTGAGTAAATATAACAGTAAGCTATTTAAATTACCTTTTAAACTCATTAAATGCCAAACGTTTTTGGCAGTTTAGGAAGGAATGAAAATGAATCGATAAAGCGAGTTTTAGTGTCCTTAACACGAACACTAATTAGTTTCCCTCCCCTAAAGACTACGTCGTTTTTGTGTAGGTACTGGAGTATGAAGTAACTGTCATAACCCTGAAAGTTGTGTGCTATGTAAGTTATGTTTTCGTTGTAAGCATATTTTTGGAAAACAGTCGCAAAAATCCTGGCAAGCAGAATCACCGTAGAAAGTTAGCATTTTTTTACCGCAGATATCACACCCATTGGCATCAACATCACCCTGGATACATTCAAGACAAGTTTTCTGAAGTACACATACATTTGGTTTGTGTTCCCCAGTCTCCTGCGTACACTCGAAATCAAAGAAAAAAATTTAGTTACGGACTTACTAAATTCTTCTTGATTTTAAATTCCTTTTCTTTGCTTTTATTTTCTACAATCTGCTTCTTATAAAACATTCATGGTCGTAGGAAACATCTATCCTTCAAACCCTACAAAAGTATAATTATCACATCTGTGTCCCTTACGAAGAATACGGTTCCATGTTTTACATGATTTAATTTTTTGACAAGTTGTTGTTTTATCCCGTTTTACGGTTGTTTTATGATTATCAAAGCACTGCTGCTTTTTGGAAACTCTACAATCAATCAACACATTCTACAGAGTAATCAGAATTTACACAGGCTTTACAATCATTAGATTTACATAAATCACACACATATTTACATGTATGTTTATACTTGTTATTATAACCCTTAAAGTATTTGTTACAATAATAACTAATTTAAAAAAAATGCTGTGATACTAGAAATCAAATCAAAATGGTTATTGCTATAATATAAATAAATTTGCTTTTGTTTGAATTCCCCACTAAATATAACCGTATTTAAATTATCTTTAGAAATAACAATGAGTTGATAAGGGAATACTCGTCTGAAACGCTTTCAATTCGTTAATGCCACAGGGTCCCTCTCTAACCCCAGCATTTCTCAACAAATGGAGAGCAGCTCTTTCCTGTTCACATTGTCCCCTTCTCACATTATTCCATCTTTGACTATTATTAATTTTATCCTCAATTATTGAGATCCCTGTGACGATCGCTCTGGCACAACAGATATTCTCATCCAGTTGTTAATTCTAATGAGACATCTACTCCCAAATTCTTTATTAATCTCTTTTCTTACCCTACCACCCCCTATAGGCATTCTAAAATGCAAAACATTAATTTTTAAAGTTTCATTAACAGAGATATCTGGTCAAGATTGAGACTTTCAAAATAGCATTAAAAATAACTTCAGGGGTCATGTGATCCCTACGACAGAAAGGTATCGATATTGGTATATCTAATCCTTCAGATTGAATAACAATTCTTACGAAGTCATTATCTCTGATATCTTCACAAGCACTATTTAGTATATGTTCGAAAATTCTGTTTAATTGTTGGTAAGATATCTATCAGTCTAATATTATCTAAACCTAGTAACCTAGTAATTGAATGAAGAATAGAAGTAAAGAGAGCAGTAAGAAAGAGGGAGAGGCTGATGGATGCGTTTTTTTTTTTTTTCTTGGCGTTAAATTTTTTACTACATCTACTTTCAATTTTTTTATTTCACATAAATTATCTATATGTACCTGATTAAAATTTAAAAAATCAACCTGGTCGTCGTCGTAGTCTTCTTTTTCTTCCTCCTCCTCCTCTCGCATTCTTTTTCCGCCTTCAAATTGAATTACATTGTTCAAATTTTCCACAGCGTCAATCGCCTCAGAACAAGCTTCATCTAACGATTCGAAGTCCAGTATCAAAACCTATGTCTTGGTGTTCTTTATTTAGGTGGATTTGATTCTCCTCGGTTCCCAACGAAGGGTATCATCGAATGAATTTTCATCTACCCTCATGCTCTTCATGTTTAATTTGGTCCTCTTGATCCCTCATTAGAAGTGCATAGATTTAGAATGGCTTGTACTGCAGTGTCTCACACTATTGCAATTCTCTTCCTGAATTTTTTTGGCATTTTCTTCAACCTTTTGTGAAGGGTGTGTATCATTTACTCTTTCACCATTTTAATTTAAGATATGTTGTAGTACAGATGCTAAACTTTATTTAATACCCACTTTGAATAACTATTTCATATTTGTATCTGTTTTCACGTAAAGCTTATTTGTTTCATCTACATTAAACCACGAATGCGAATATTGTATTTCGGCTAAACCTACTTCCCATTGTCCACTAAGGTGTATGGCCTTGGCTAGTAACTTGTAAGTGTATTTTCGGGAAAATAATTCATCAAGCTATTCCTTGGTAACGTAATATAGAACTGCGCTGCCATTGTGTTTATCCGACTAGATTTTGAACTGTTTAATCTTAAAGGTTGGTGTAGCCTTTTGACCAGGTACTCCGTTTTATCAATACGTTTTCGTTCTCGTATTAAATATCTTTTCCTTCCGTTCAGTTTGCAAGATAACCTTTCTCAAAAAGCATTTTATATATCTACACTAATACGAACTTGATCACCAATTTTGAACTTGGAATCTCTGTTTCTTGGCTTGTTGCTTGTTTCCGTATAGAGTTTGCCATAGATCATGTTCATTTTCTTTTGTAGCGAGTAAAGGCGCAGTGCCTATTATAGATCTATATTTAGAATTGTTGTAACTAGAAACAAGTTTGAGCAGCGCATCGATATGATGATAATGAAAATGATACATGGTATGTTTAAGAGCTCCAAACATTAAAATTTTTATCAAATAAATGAATATCAGATTGAATTAAAAGCAATAAATGATAGAATGCATTTTCACATGTAATAATGCTTTGTCGATCAAGCCATTGATCATACACAGCTTGATCATCGATATAGTCCTCATATAATATTTTCTCGAAATATTTGCTTAAGTGGTCGTAACCGGACATCATCAGACACATGTCATGGTCTATCTGACTAGGTCTCTCGAATTCATTTCCATAAATAATCTAGCTTTTTATATTTGCTGAGTGTAAGTAAAAATTCTTCTATGTAAACAGTCTCCAGATTTTTTTCGCCATCATCTCAGCATGTTGATCTTGCTCGTTTTCTTCCTCAAATACACTATCCTCGTATAGGATGTTGGGATTCGTTGCCAGGTCGCGGTAGTAGTCAGGTTAGCTGTATGCCGGATTATATATGATTTCTTCTTCATTTTGTTTTTGTTTGTTTCATCTACATTAAACGCCATTACAAAAAGCATTTTATATCTACTATACGAACTTGTTTTGAACTTAAATCTCTGTTTCTTGGCTCGTTTCCGCATAGACTTTGCCATAGATCATATCCATAATAATCTAGAAATATTTGCTTAATTGGTCGTAGCCAGACAAATTAAAACATATCGTCTGTTGTAAGAATTTGGTTATTAGTTGGGGTTGGAGACTGGTCTTCGTCATAAGGCGTTTTACAGTTCCCCCCCATTCCATCACAGGCACTTTTGCCATGTGAAGTT